GTCGAAGTTCGGTCTCGCCTCAGATCATATTGCGAACGCATCTCGGGACTCAACCCCGTTCCCTCAGGAAACCGTCCGCCGTTATACGGAGGATATGCAGTCGATCACGCGGAATATCAAAAGAATTCTCTCTCCGCGCGGCGAGGATTTTCAAGCTTTTACGATGCGGCCGGCTGACGTTTATGCGGATATCTGGATATGCGACACGTTAACAATACGCGCATTTTCCGACGCTATTCCTCGTAAAACCGCCATTCGCGCATTCAGCGAATAAAAGAGCCAAGTCAAAAATAGCGAAAAAGATATAATTGATTAAAAAATTATATTCTTATATTAGTGATTTATTAAAGATTAATATTAAAAGGGCAAATGTCTGTGAAAAATCATTTTCAAATTTATCAAGTCTTAAAATCTTTTATATCGAAGAAAGAATATGTTTCGAGGATTCCCAGTGTAAAAATTCGTCGAACAGAAAGATAAAAAGGTCAAATTTTTAACGGGATTATAATTTAAAATTTTTGCAAACGGGATTAATTAAATATTCGTGCAGTTTCGTGACGAAATATGAATGATGAAATTATACATATATATTGGTGTACTCGCTTCATTAAATTTCTCTGCGTGCTATTTAAACGAGGAAGCAAGGCAACAACGGTAATCTAATGCCGTTGTGCCGTGAAATATTCCATAAACGTTCTCGAAAATTCCATACATATGAGCGCGATATCGTTTATTCGACCGCGAAATTGCTCCTCAACTTTCGTCACTTTCCTTCAAAGAGCAGAATTGATCATCGCACCCCGATGCATATTGCGCGTTTTATTAGTCAGCTGTCTGGCGAATTTGAAGTGTACTGCTCGCTCAAGAGACCTCAGAGAGAGGTCAGCTTGTGAATTTTAATTAAAAACCATGCGCGATAAAGGATGATAAAATGTGTAGCTCGCGTATCGCGAGCGTAAAAAGCGAATGGAGAGCACGATATTATTATTGACAATGTCACATTTCTGCAGTCACGAGCTTAATTACGTTTAATAAATTATGTTCGCAATCCACTTTTCTGCATTC